AAAAGCCCAACGGAGCCATGACAGGAATTAGAGCCTTTAAAGGACCTGGCAAACTTGAGCCTAAGAGCTTCGGAGATGCGGCATCTGAGATGTAGGATTTCAGGAGGGTTTAGTGATGGGTTTTCGGGTTTAAGTTCATGTAACGGTGCTGAGGGTTTTCAGAGCCAGGGCCGCTGATGGAGGGTTTTGGGTTTGCGGTCTGGTATAGAGTATAGAGTTCAAAACTTGCAGAAGAAAAATCAGTCTGGAACTGGTGCAACACAAGCTGCCGAGACCTGATTCGAGATCGCCTTCTGTCTATGTTTTTGGGCTTAAGGTTTGAGCTTTCCGGTCTCGGGTATAGAGGTAGGGTTTAGGGTTTGAGCCATCCTAACCAACTTCAAAAGGCATCTCGGAGCAAACAGGATGGGTTATAAAGTGACGAGTACTGGACCGGAACACAGGTCCATGTCCACCGAGAGAAAGCATAACAGCTAAAGATCAAGTCAGAATCACAAACAGCTGTAAGGCTTAGGGCTTATAAGGTTTAGAGTTTGAGGGAAGAACGTTCAGAACACCGAAATGAAGTACCAGCCTCCTCCTCTCCCTCTTGGATCGAGGGATCCTGGTGTGATTTCGCGAAGAACAGCGAAGGCTTAGGGTTTAGCTAAACCCTAGACTCTGAACCCTAAAGCCTGAACCATATTTCATGGCTTCTGTCCCTGATATCAACTCGCAGTCCCTCGAACAATGCTGTGGGTCTGAATCACTAGTAAAGTTTTCTCCGTATAGTCCCTATATGACTCTCCGCTATAGTCTACCCCATCATCACAGTTTCATGGTTCTTACTGTCTATCACCTCTATGTGATCATGGAGCCACAGAAAGAAGACTAATCCGGTATCAGGAGGATTTCCATTCTACAGTTTGAATACATTCAGGAACCCGAGAGGACGCTCTCACTACCGAATCCTTTCTACTAGCAACTTGTGAGACCATTATAATCACCCTAGCAAAGTCATAACACGCTACGAGACCTACAACAAAAGCCTTACAAAGAAAACCCCTTCTGTTGCTAACTCCCCCTCAAGCAGCCAAAAGTACCAAACAAAGACCATTCAAGCCTTTGTGGGCAAGGCCATCGCGCAAACAAAACCTTGACGAAGTCGAAGAAGGCCTACTATCACGTGATATGATATGTTACGCAACACCTTCAGCACCTTACAGCATAGCTTTTCGGCACGTCTCATAGACTAACAATCAAACTCAACCCTTACAGCCCAGGTTTATTTTCCCTGGCCTTCGACCGAATCTCCGGGAGCACACCGGCCTGTATTTTGCGAAGCTTCAATTTAAGGGCCTGAACAACTAGAAAGGGGACTACAAGGCGTTTTGGCAGAGAGTGGGGGGGATGGGGACTCTCAGCAGAGTCACCCTGAATAGCCAGTGTTCTCGACTAAAGTATTTCGGTATGGCCACGACCTTCGACAGGGACTTAATTATGGGATTTCTCCGGCTGCAGGGTTTGGGGCTTGGAGGTTTTGAGTGAAGCGTGGCTTGAGGGTTTTTCTGGTCTTCCAAGTCGCCGTTGACTTAAGTTCAAGCAGAGTTTGTGGCGGTTGCGTGCAGTCAGTATGATGGCGATGGGGACAGATATGAAGGAAGAATGGAGATCGGGAGGGGATAGGAATGCGGGTGGGTTTGATGATGATCAGGATCATAATGCTGGTGCTGATGATGACGATGAGGATGGCCACGCTGATGATGATGATGATGCTGGTGATGGTGCAGTGAGATGCTCATGATGACGAGGGTCACGATGAGGATCGGGATGGGGATGGTGATGTTCAGCCGGTACGAGATGCTGAGGGCTTCCAAGCACTGCCCCGGCCTGGGATGAGGACGAAGCTTTTCTCGTCCGGCCGGCCTGGCCACGCTCTGTGGTTTGAGTTGTTTTGTCAGGTATCTTCAGAATCAGAGTCCCCTTCGCCACCCACCCCGAAGAATACATTCAGGTTGGCGGACCCGCAAGGAAAACCATGTATTCCGGAAGCCTTTGCTACGTAAAACTTGATGATGATCATGTTTGGTGTCAACAATGGGCTACACGTTGTGGGTGATGTACACGGTCACACTATATGACTGAACCCGACCCCACGCAATACGTTCGTTAGGGCGGGGTATCTATGCCCTGAATCCAAACCCCACCCTCAAAAACCCTAAAGCGCAACGCTAGCCCTTTTGCCCCCCATAAACGCTGAAACCTTTCTTCCAACGCAGAACCAACGTCTTGGAGCCGCCGGGCATACCAAACTCATCGGTGGTCAAGGGCCTGAATAACACCAACACTAATTATTCCTTCAATTCCTTAAGGGCGCTCCTCATAGTTATCGTGTAGACACCTCGTGACCCTAAGTTCGCGAAGCAATGTTCGACAGATAAAAGCAACTGATCCCAAAGTTCCCTTCAACCCCTTCCATTCCCAATTACAACCTGTGGTCGGCATAATTAGTATGTTTCAACCCCGTATAGTTCCTAGTCAATATCATCAGAAAGCAAATTACTCCGTTTGTCTAGTCAATCGCATGCAACTTCATAACAAAGGCCAAGGAGCCCCAACTTTGATGGTTCTCTCGTTGTGACGAAACCCTCAACCGTAATCCATAAGCCCTAAACGCGAAGAGTAGATCTCGGGATTGGGAACCCGGGCCTCTCCCGCTCCGTCGCGTTTCCGGTCGGCCTCGGCCTGATGTTGAGGATTATGCAGGGTTGAAGGCTTAGGGTTGATTTCGGAATTTTCAGGTTTTTGCTTTCAGGGAAAAAGGGTTCAGGAAGGCTATGTTGAGATGTTTCAGAATAACACTGGAGTGATTCATCTGAAGGCTATGCTATTTTATGTTGCTATGCTGTGGTATGATAGGTGAGGCTAGGTCCTGCCTAGCTAGTGCATGTTATGTTACGCAGTGCTTTGCCATGCTATGCCATGCTATGTGATGCTGTGTGATGCTAGGTGATGCTATGTGATGCTATGTGAAGTGATGTAAGGGTTATGTCAAGTGTTCTTATATTATGTTATGTACAAATTAGGGCTGGACAGGCAAAACTTCCTGGAATCTGGGTACTAGCACGGCGGATCATGGGTTCAAGAGTGGTGCAGATGAAACAACCTCACCAAACCCTCCAAGCTCCAACCTTAGCCTTAAACCCCAACCAATCCAGGCATCCACCGGACTTTCGAGTCGCTGTGGGCTTCAAGAGTCCAGTGAGGGAAGTAAGCATGCTGCCTGGCGGAGCACAAGTCGTTCTGGCCTTATGCTCTCAGTCGCGGAGCAAATGTTTGCTCGAAGTTCTTTCGACGACCTGATGGCCGGCCGGAGTGCCAGCATTTTGAGCTCGTCACCTCGGAGATGGTGTCAGAGCTGTGGACACGGCAGTACCGAGAATGGTACTTCTCACTCGAGAACCCGTGGGCCAGAGGCGGAGGGCCCGACATGTACGTCATCATCCCCCCACCCCACCCCGTCCCCCCCAAACACCTGACAAAGAAACCTCAAAAAAGGCAGCAAAATCGGGCGCAGAAACGCGCCATGCGTTCCTGCATCGTTTCAGTGTTGAGAAGCTGGAAACGTACCGAGTGTGTCGTGCCTGCCACGTTTGCCAGCAAGGCCTAAGCGAAGTCCAAAGAAACCTGGTCTAGCAGCACCTGTAAAACAATCCATGTTAGTGAACCCGCTTGCAGGGTTTAGGGTGGAGGGTTTAAGGTTTGGGGTTTAGGGTTTAAGGTTTAGGGTTTCACGGGGGTTGAAGTTTTTTTGTTTGAGTGCCTTTGGGTTAAAGGTTAAGGGTTTAGGAGTCAGCCGTTAGGGTGTGGAGTTTGTAAACACTGTTTAAACAGAGTCCTGCGGGGCTCTATGTTCTTGGAAGATTTTCAGTGACGAGGGACGAGGGCCTTCGGTCTGTCGGTTTCGGGTTTTCGGGGTCGGGCTTTTGGTGTTGACGCAGTACAGTTTTAGGGTTGACGGTTGAGGGTCTAGGGCTTATTGATTGTTGGACCATCTGAGGAACAAGCCAAATTTGACAAGCTCTGTGATAAACAAGCGTAACCACCACAAGAATCATTTCACAGTTTACCTCCGTCTTTCTATTATGGCTAGGTGGCTTACCTTCGCTTCCCGCCTGCCTGTGTTTATTTGGTGTTGGTCACGAAAGATGGATGGTCCTAAAACCTCAAGCCTAAACACTGACTCCCTAAAACCGCGTCCTCCCAAAACCCAAAGCCCTGAAAGGACAAGTTTGTGAACCACCTACTTGCAACCCTCAACCCCAAGCTCTAAACCCCAAACCCTGAACACTTCTGGTCGAACGCAAGAGTCTCAGGCATCGGCTCCGGCATTTGCGGCGGCCGCAGCTTTCTGGGACTTCTGCAACGCCTCTGGGGGTTAGCGGCTTTCGGGTTCAGGGCTTAGGATTTATCGGTTTAGGATTAGGTCTTGAGGTTTTGGGGTGTAGGGCTTTCTGCCTGGGGCTCAGGGGTTTAAGAGCCTGAGAGTGTCGGGGCCTCAACAATTGTTCCAAACATGGGGTTTAGGGTTTAGGGTTCAATACTGATCCATCTATCTCCGAAACCCCGGGCCACAAGCTCGAAATCCTCAACCAGACTCGCCCAGAGCATAAAGGAAAACTAACTAAAGCCCTAAGCCAACAGCCCAGACAAAGCGAAAAACCTATTGAACACTACACGCATTACGCGAAGACACAGTTGCGTTGTCCACAGATTCGGCCAAGTTTACGGGAGCCTGTGGGTTTCGGGTTCACGTCTAGACCGACCCCCATCGTTTGGTGTTTAGGGTTTAGTTTCCCTCTGATTTTGGGAAGTTCTATGTAGCATCGGTTTTCAGGGGGTGGTCCGTCTTACATGTGCGCCTCAACAATCAGAAAGGGCGCCGGGGTGTATGCACATAGGGACTGTAGAGGGATATCGACATTCAGACCGCTGTATTGCTCAACATCTGAGCTTCTGGCGACATCGGCATTTTTTGCCAGCGTCTGCCTGGGTATCAGAAGATAAGTTTGGCAGTGGGACTTGAGAAGTTTGGTTCGGTTTGGGTTTAGGGTTTAGGCAGACTTTAGGTCTAGCACTAAGTATGCAACACCAGTGCTGCTTGCTCCCATTATGCTCAATACTCGTCGTCTCGCTCGTGGTTTTGCCTTTGTCGGTCACGTCTATCATGTCTTTCGTTCCTACTCCAAGATTCTGAAAATACTTCTGGACGAAAACCAATACACTCCTAAGGGTCTTTTTTTGGGTCCTCCGTACCATTTTCGGGACCTGAAAGGCGACCCTAATTTAGAGAACTACCCTTGCCATGAACAAAGATGCTAGCCAAGGCTTCGGACCCCGGAGTTCCGGCCTTTCTTGCTGCTTGCCTTTTGTTTTACGGCTTTTGTAGGTCATTGTAGGTGTTTGCTGTTTGGGTTTAGGGCTTAACAGGGTTTTAGGGTGTGGGGTTTCGGGAATTTGAAGTTTGTGGGGTTTAGCCTTTGAGGGTTTAACGGTGCACCGTTGAACCAGTAGTATCCGGAAGCCTCCAAGCCTGAATGCGGTCTTGGGCCCGAAACCCGGGGGTACCAAAGCAGACCTCAAACCCTAACCACCTCAAGCAACCGAAGCCCAAACCCCCCCAATGCTAAACCCTGAAACCTCAACACTAAGCCCCAGACCCTGGAAGCCCCAACCCTGACCAACATTTGACCCAAAAACACCCTAAATCCTAAACCCGACGAATACCCTGAAGATCCCAGTCGAGAAGCGTTAGCGGGTGCTGCTCCCCAAGGCACTTCTTGGCCACGGCGTGGCCCTTCTGGTACGCTTGGGCAGCCTCTGTTTTTTCTTGAATGCCCCGCAGGCGTGTAAACCAGCCAGGGTTTAGGGCCAGGGTTTCGGAGTTTGCCAAAGCTCGTGAAGTTGTGGGCACGCATTTTCATGTCCAGTGAGGCCTGAAGGCTTGCATCTAGGGTTTCAGAGCCCCAGGCCTTGGGGTTTGACACAACAAATCACCCCCAGGATTCGAACTACGAGGGTTTGGGGCTTGAGGTGCCACGAAAGCCCGAGACCCCAAATCAGAGAAGCCCTAGGAGGAAGACCCGGCCTCCGATAACTGGCGGAGGTAGTCATGCTCCACCGCCACATTATGGTAGGCAATGGCCAAGACGGAAAACTCATCCTCTTAGAGCCGGCAAGAGACGTGTTGAGTTTAGCACTCAACGCTCTGAGGGCGGGTGACTCAGGCTTGAAGGTTTTACCAAGTGGGTTGCGCGACGGTAGTTTGTTTAAGGTACGGACAGACTAGCCGAGCACCTTACCCAGTACCAAAGCTTCTTCTCTGCGTTGAACCGTACGGCCCCGAAACCAAGGCGAGTTCAGGTCGGTTGAGGCTTTTGGCCATCTCTTTCTAAGAAAGCTTTCTAGGATTCCTTGCAACATGTACCGGTGAAGCCCTGAGGCCTTGACCGCAAACCCCCCATAGCAACCTGCACAGGAAACCCTACAGCAATGCCAATAGTAAATCCTTGAAGCGCAACATTTATAGTAACCCGCGCGGCCGACCCTTGCAGCAACCTTTTTCCAAACCATATGCTAACTCTTGTTGGAACATTTTTTGCGGTAACCTTTATAGAAAACATTATGCGAACACTGAAAGCAAGCCTGAGGCCAATTCGGCTCCGCGAAACGGACTGGTTTAAGGGGTTACCTGGGGCCCTACAGGGCTGTATAGCGTCTGTAAGATGTTCATAGGATTGTTTCCGGCTTTCTCAGGTGCTATAGGTTTTTGGCAACTGCTCTGCCTGCGTCTATGGAGAGACAGTTTTGAAGAAACTGAGGCGAAACTTTCCATGACGATATGCTAGTTGAGAAAATCGTTTGCTCCTCCCTCCTTTCCTCTCTCAGAAATCCGAGTTTCGGTCCCGAGCAGGGGTCGTCCGGCTCCACAAAGAAACGGAAAGTGAGTACCAAGCCAAATCTTTGGGGTCAGGGGCAGTCTAATTAAGAAAATACTCTATGACTTGGAACGCTTTAGCCATTCGACGCCGAAGGGTGATGGCTTTCTGGATCAGATTTGCCCCAACAAAGCCTCTATAAAACCTCTTTAAAGCCCTAAACCCTCGTAACCCCACTCGTAACCTGATAAAGCTGTCCTGTGAGGCGGCATCGCCAAGCGCATCGACCCGGGTCTGGATGAGCTCCAGGGCGCACAGCGCATGCTGCAGCGCCTTGGTGCGCATTTGGGGATGCTGTGGAGGTTGCGTGCTTAGGGTCCCATGTTCTAGACAAGTTCTGCAGCGGAATTGACAGATTGAGAGCGTCTGGGTTTTGGTGTCTCGGGGTTCGTTGAGAGCGCTAGAGCTTTACGCTCTGGGCGTTTACGGGCTATTTCGGGGAATTCAGGCTTCGTTCTCCGAAACTCAAGCCCTGAGGCTCTAAACGGAGGCCATCCATGAAGTCGCAACATCTAAGCACATCCCAGGGCCTGAACACTAAATTCACCCTACCCTGTCAAAAACCAATCGAAACCTAATAACCTACGAACAAACCGAGAGAAACCTACAGAAACTATAGAGCCCCATAGAACCCTGTAGAAACTTAGGAAACCCACACCTACAGCCGACACCTCAACGCAGCGGACAAGGACCCGATCCTGGCCTTGTCGTGCTTATCCAGTTTCGAAAGGATGGCACACACCTCGGAAGCTGACTTTCGGTAGGGTTTAGTGAGGGTTTCGGGCTTAGTGTTCAGGGTACAGGGTTTAAGGCCCAGCGCTTAGGGGTTAGATTCTGGGTGTGCGTAGGCGTCTGAGCAGGGTTGTAGAGGGTCTTATAGGTTTTGCTCAAGGGCCGCATTATGGCTTCAAAGGCTTTAAAAGGTTCTGTAGTCTATGGGCCGCTGGGCCGTTAGGGCTTGTGGGGATGAAGGGTTTGTAGAAGCGAATTCTTGCAAGGGGGTTTTAGCGGTTTGGGGCTGTTAGGCTTAAGGGTCTTTATGAGGGTTGAGAGGTGCTACGGGCTCGGGTTTAGGCGTTGGGCTGCCAGGATTCACGGTTGTAGGGCCATGATCGTGTAGGCCCGAATATTGGAATCCCTGGTGTCATCCCTAAGACAATAAGGGAAAGGGGTCTGTTTGCGACAGTTTACTAGGTACGGATTTAGAGGTTTGGGCTGCCCTTGGCTGCGGGGGTTTCAATTCCGGCTGTCTGCGGCAGAGTAGGGTTCCCAAGTTTTCGAGTCCTTATGCTCTGCCCCTAAACCCTAAACCTCGAGGGCGAAAGCCCACACGTAGACTCGATGAATCAAAGAGTTTAGGACTTAGGGCCGTTAGCCTCAACCTCGAAACCCTCTCCTTCACGGCGGTGGGAATTGGAGCTCTTCCTTGTTCGACTGTACAGGTTTTGGCGTCTGCGTCATCGTTGCATAGCGGTACCGCCAACTAAACGCTTTTGCATGTGGACCTCAGCTGCTGTTCAGGAGGACACGCACGTCATTCTTGAAAGCACCGATGTCGCTGTTTGCGACAGTCAGCAGCTGCTGTTCAGCTTCTGCATAGGTGCGCTTGGGATCGTCGTCAGCCAACCATAGCATCTTCAGCTGCCAGACAAGTCTTTGCCTGTCGGTGACATCAGGTGACATCAGCAGCTTGACCATTAGGGACACCAACTTCTGACGCTGAGGCTTGCTCAGCGAGCGCATTACCTTCTCAAGTGTGCGGGTGCAAGGTTCGATCTCTTGCAAGTTGTCGCGTATGCTGGACGTGACCAAGTTCTCCATCAGTGTGAGCATGCCCTCTGCAATAGTTTGCTGCACGAAAGGGAGGGCATCACTAGCGTGGTTGTGGACAATGTGGTGGGCAGCAGCAGCAACGGAGGCATCTGCACTCCAGCAGTGCCGCAGCAAACTTTGCAGGTTCTTGCCGACCGTGCATCGAACATAGCTTCTGCTGAAGTGGGTTAGTGACTTGGACGCCAGGGCCATGCACCACAACCGACACTCACACAGCTTGTGCTGCTCGGCATCGCTTCCAAAGGCTGTCTCGAAGGGCACATCCGGGTCGACAAAGAATTGGTCTAGTTGTTCGGCGAAAATCAGAATTGCATCTGGCCCTTCCATGCTGCCCATTTCGGCCACGTGCGCTGTCAAGGCCTCCGGGCTTCTAGTGCGTCTCGAAACCAGCCGCCAGCTCAGCAAATCCTGCACACCCAGGTACGGCAGCAGGTTTGCCACATGGAGGTCGGAGGGGGTGCATTCCCCACCGCCGACCTCGATGTCTGTGAGTGCCGTCGGCGAGCCCTCGATGCAAAGGGTCTGATCGGCATCCTTGTGCTTGGCCAAGGCCTGCCCACCACGCAGCCGCTGTCCTCCTTCGTCTTGGAAATCCGATGCAGACGCGGGAGACTCATCGCATGGGTGATCGTCAAGAGCTTCGGTGCTCAGACTTTCCTTGGGCGGCTCCTCCGACGGAGCTTCCTGGCACTCTGCAGCGACAGGGCAGCTCTCAGGCACATCGCGACAGCTGATCGGCAGTTCTGGGCCTAACCACAGCGCAGCAGGAGTTGAAGGTGCCATCGCATCCAACGTGGGAGAGCCGGTGCCCTCCGCTGCCACAGTCTCCTCGAACGCGTCAGGGACGACGAGAATCCAGTCAGCATCGGGGCTTTCTTCGCTGTCGCTGCCAAGGCTCCCGGTGTCGGTGAATTTTGTGTCCGAGCTATCTGTCTGGCTCCGGGGCTCCTCGGCAGCGCATGGTTCTGCCGGCATCTTCGCTCGGCAGCACTCAGGCTCCAAGAGCTTGCCAACAAGATTGGAGATCAGCTTCTGGTCCTCGTGCCGCTGCTGCTGCAGACCGAGGATCAGGTTCTGCTGCAGACACAGCTGTTGATTGGTCTGTGCCAACTGGGAGCAGACAGCATTCAGCTGGTTCCAGAGCAGGGCGACTTGGACGTCCTGCTGCAGGTACCACACGGGGCCCTCGCTGGGCCCTTCTTGTCTATCCACCATGGCGCGGCTACACTTTCAGATTTCTCAATGCTTTGGGCCTGCCAATTTTCTACAAATCCGGAGAGTTTGCATGCCCTCTGCTTTCCCAAGAACTGCCACAGCCTCTCAAACTTCGAAAACCCATTCAGACCCAAAGTGTGTAGGGCTTAGCGGCCTGAACCTGAAAACCTGAGCTTCCGAATATTCCTCGAAGCTGCCCTGCTGCCGAAGGCACGTTGAGGTGGGTGCCGGCTACCGTAACATCGTCCGTGCGCAGGGAAACCTGCAATGAAATGAGCCATGGGCTACGAGGGGCCTACAAGGTATCCTATACACGTTCCTGTAAGGGCTCCGGACTAGAGAATAGGCGACCTTTACTGAGGGGCCAAACATGTCCAAAAAGAGCTCTTGGAGCTTCCGGAACCCTAAAGCCTTAACCCGAAAGCCGTGAAACTTACAGCGCAGCTCACATGCCCCTAGCTCTTCTTAGGTGCAAGCCTCGATTTTGAGGGCTTTCCCGAGATAACCAAGGGCCGCGTGAAGCTTGCCGACCTGCTGTCCATGGGCGGATTGTTGGAGAACGATAATATGATAAAACTCAATATACCATGATATAGTATACTACAACATACCATAACATACTGTAGTGCACTATAATATACTACTATGCACTATAATATACTATTGGGTTGTTGGGCGGTCTAAGGTTTGTAGGGTGTTTGTATCGGTTTAGGTTTCTGATTTAGACATGTCTATGTCTGGGGCTGAAGGTTGCGGCTTCGAGTCGCTGCAATTCATCGCCGGGGCCTTGATGATTAGAATAGGGTTTCAGAGTGTAGGGTTTAGGATTTAGGGTTGAAACGATAATACTAGGGCTTTGAGGTATGCTAGAGTAAAATGAGGGAACATGCTTACTAACCATTCGGAACCCTATGTTGCTACTACCAGTACTCTTTATGGTCTGGGCGTCGCTCTCATCTCTAGCCTCCGACACCTCAGGGCTTCAGGGCTTCGTTGCTTTAGGGGGGTCTTGGGCTTTAGGGTTTTGAGGCCTTAGGGCTTTCGAGTCCGGGGTTTTAAGGCTTTAGGACTAAGGTCCTGTAACACCGAACAACCCGAGAATCCCAACCTACGGAGCCCCAAGACCCGAAGGACCTGAGCATGGCCATCTCCAGCAGCGACTCACGTCTCAACCAGCACATACTGCTTGGTTGTAGCCTTTGCGCTGCCATCATGGTGTCCAGGTTCTTGGGCTTTGACAGCCCTTGCCGTCCAGCAACTGCCCTTGTGGGCCATATTGAAGCTTCTCACAGTGCTTGACCATCTTGCTTCTGCTTGATGACAGCCGACTCTTGCAAGCCTTCGTGCGTTTGAGCATGCGAATCACGGCACTCTAACGTGTGGAGGCTCGAATGAAGCCTAAAGCAAGGGCATCTGCAATATTTGTCACTGCGCAGAGCCCTGACTGTAACTAGGTTGCACCTTCTAGAACCCACCTTTTTTGTGGTGCACGTTGTGAGGGCACGACAGAACTGTCCACTTCGCATCGGAGACCCGCTCTTGGTGCGTGTGGCCGGGCTTCTGCTACAGACTTGTCAGGTATGACACCTGAAAGCCTGCCCTCTAAATTCTCTCACGGTGAGTCGGTTTTGGCATAGGTCGTTTTTGGATCGTCTGGAGATGTTTAGGGGGAATGCAGTCAGCTTTGCTCGGAAATGAAACAAGTGCGCAAATCGTCCAGACTGCTAGCTGACCTTGCTATAGTAGTACGAGCTGAGTACTGCGACGACAACGACGACGATCAGCCTCATTTCTGCAACACCACTACCACGCAGGCTACTTGCCTACTACTCTGGGTGCGAGATTCGTCCCTCACACCTCCAACTTCCAGGCGGGCCCTGACTTCAAAGCAGTTGGGGGTTTAAGTTTAGGGTCAAGGAAACTGGGTTTAGGATTTAAGGCTCGGGATTCAGCACTGTCATTGTGCACCCACCTTCTTGTAGTAGCAGCCCAGGTTGTTGCACGTCACCGACATCAAGTTGGTTGGCTCGTCCTCCCCCAAACATATGCACTCGGAACCCGACGATGCCAGCGCTTGGCCCGGAGTCGTTTATGTTTTGGGGTTTAGGTTGTAGGGCTTCATCCAGGGTTCAGAATATGTAGCAGCAGTGTACCCTCAGTGTCCCAACATAATTACTTAGAAAATAACATATCCCAAACCCTGTTCTGGCTGTCAAGGTCCGGTACTAGGGTTTGGCTTGGGGCTTGCATGGTTTGTGACACCAGGAGTTCCGTTCTGACTCTGACTTTCCTCCCTGTTTTCGGAGTGTGTGCCTCAGGTTGCATTCGAAGCTCTCGGGGGTTTGGGGCATTCTTACATGAGGATCCCTTATGAATGAAGGTATACAGCAATATGGGCGTTCGTACTTATCCTTCCTAGTACAGGAACTGTCGGTGAAACTGTTGCATTTAGGAGGAGTACACTTCCCCTACAAGACGATAAGGGATTTTCTTCTGGGTTGCTCTGTTATCAGGAACTATAGAGAGGTATCTCAACATAAATCCACTATCGAAACCTGTCATGAATTCAGCTCCGGGTTTCTGGATGCAACCCCATCCTCACGGACTTCTACGGGCGACGCTGTCGATATGGTTAGTCAGGTGTGTAGGCACGCGCGGCATTGTGAGCATGACCGAGACCGGCCGTGCGGCCCGATTCCCGGCGCTAAGCAGAAAGCCCTAGATAAAAGGGCCTAGTGAGTCATGAAGTTTAAACACTGATCTGTACGGTGTCGGGCTTGCAGGGTTTAGGCTTTGGGGTTTGGAGATGTTGGGGTGGTTCAAGGTGCGAAGTGTCGTAACCTGAATTAAACCCGCAGGCGGTGAATCGCAGACCCACTCCTGCGGTCTTTGCCTGTCGGGGTACTGGACACGAAAGCCCAAGTAGTGAACTCGAAAACAAACAGATCCTACATGCTCTACCTAAACTCCTTGGTCCTGAATGGGAAGCTCCCGGCCCTTTCAACCCCAGGCCCCGAAAAACTCGCCCACCCTCCGAAAAAATACCCTCCATCAAACTAGCATTGGAACATGATCCCCAAAATCCGACAACCTCCGACACTACCACAAAAGAAAGCCAGTCTATCAACCACAGACGCACAGACACACATGTTTGCTCCAAGAGATGATGCTCAGCTCAGTCCTGACCCTGCTTGGAAGCCTTGGAGTTTTCAACGGACATTGGGATTTGGGGTTTCGGGCAGTCTCGGGTACAGTGCTTTTCTTTGGGTGTTGGGAGTTGGGGTGTAGTTTCGGATTTCTGGCGCTGTACTGGAGTTTTGTAAGGATTTTCGCATGGGTCTTGAAAGTGTTTAGCTGGGGTCATGCAAGGGTTTTTGCGGTTGTGCCACAGGGGTGTTGTAGTTTCCGGCGTTCTTGTAGGTTCAATACGATGGATTTACCTGCTGAGGCCTATGTTAAGTACAAAGCCCCTAGTCCAACACCCTCCTTGAACATACCACAAACCTACCCCTTATTTGGTGCTAAGGCTTCGATATGGACTTTCGGATAGGGTGCTTCGAGGGCACGACGTCAGGGTCTTTGGGTTTAAAGTTCGAGGGCATGTTGTTGAGGGGTCCCGGAGTTTCGGAGTGAAAGTGCGTGTTTTATGGATTCAGGTTTGAGCGCTTAGGGTTTAGGGTAAGCACATTAGGATCAGCTTGGGTAGATGCTTTGCAAAGCTCGGGGCTTGAACGAATGTTACCACTAGGGGCTTGGCTGGTTGCCGCGGATCAAGACAAACGGAATCGATCTATTGTACATATGTATGTACACGCACTAAGACGGCAAGCGTTAGATCTTGGGGTGCTGAGGCTCCTGAGAAGGCAATAGTAACTTGCGAGCAATAGGCACAGCAGTCGCCAAGGTTGCCATACACTGCTAGTTTAAGAATTAGTACATGCCTGATGACTGTACGGGGACACATGCGCACACATAAACACATATCCATATCTACATCCGTATCGATCTCAAATACCTATATATCACCTAAACCTGAAACTTGACGTGTCAAACCCTTTCTGACCGTTTCAGACCCTCTGAAGCAATGAATGCTTATAGATTTTTTGCGAGATTCCCAGTGGCCTTGCTGAACCCTGAGCAAAGCCACCAAACTCCTGAAACAGCAGATCCTCTCGTGAGGTCAGAAGAGCTCCGCTTTGCCATCAAGCGGCCACGACAGCTTCCGCATACTTCAGCTGCTCGAAAGCTGGCGAAAAGGGGGGAACGGTAAGCCGATGACGGTTTAGGGGCGATAGGGATGGGACCCCGGAGCTTGTTGTGCAGGAACCGACCCGCTCTTGTGCGTGAGTCTGGAGATGTCTGTTACAATGGGTCATGCTCGGTGTTCCCAGGTGCGATTACATTACCTTCAGGCTGAAGAAGGCAAGATCGGTAGAACGCCTGATGAGAAGAAGCTTCGAACGGTGAGGCTGCGCTTTAGAGCCGTAGACTTTAATGAGAGATTGATGCCGTGATACTTTTTGTGGCAAGTCAATACTTTTGAAGCTAGAGGATCGAGACAGGCTCGTGGTGGAATGCACTCCGGGTCGCAGGGCAGCTGACGTCGGCATGATAGTTCCTCAATGCGCAAGCCATGCTCCAGAGTGCCAGGGTTTAGCATGAAAGAATGTTGAATCCAGACACGTGGTCCCCGGAAGTCGTTAAGATTTTGGGTCATGCGAGAATTCGGTGATGTAGCCTAGATGCGGGCCACCCTTAGCCGTAAACCCTACACCCCAAGAGTTCCAATGTTTACAACTCTGGCTGGGTAAGCCTTGCTTGAACTGCCCTCTCCGCAGGAAGTCCATTCCTTCCTGGCCGGAGAGCTTGCTCTCAGATCAGTCTTACAATACAGCGGCCTTGGTGGTCAAAATAAGGCTCTGGGGCATTTTGAGGTATATTTATACAAGTAAAACTAAGGAATCCTAAGGAATAATAAATATTGGTTGTTAATTGTGCGG